AGCCTTATTTTAAAAAATAAATATTAATCAGCAGTTTCTTAATAAAGACTAAAATGAATATATTGTATAAATATTTCTTAAAATTATTTTACTAAAAAAAAGTGTATAATAATTCAAATATATTGTCATAAAAATAAAATGAAAATTTGTATTATTTGGACACACAAAAAATATTGAAAAAAATTAGCTCCTAAAATCATAAATATACAAAGTTCTTTTATTTACATCAAGACAGAATGTACTTGTAATAAAATTGCTAATTAATGTTTCTACAAATGAGGCTCTTTTAATAAAAATTTCCCCTATACACGAACCTTTTGCATTTAAAAATACACAATCCATAAAATTGTAAATAGAATTGAAATCCGATGTGATCGTTTAAAGTGAGCTTTGTGAAACAATTATTCTAATTTCGACAATTATTTAATTACCGTATTTTTAGGATAGATGATGCAGGATCTAGTAAAGTTTTATATTAGGCAATAAAATATTAAAAGTAAAAAGTCAGTCCCTCTCCATTTATCGCGCGGATAAGCCGAAATTAACAATCATAGTTGTAATTATTTTCGTTCGTAAACAAAATTGAGTAATAAATAAACTCGCCCGATGGTCCCGTTATTATGTGCAATTTTCATTAATAATAAACGCTGTGAAGGATGCGCAACGTGCACTTAACTCATTTGTCATTTAGATTGGTAGTTATTAACATTTGGAACTTTTACTCTCACACAAAACCACCGTCTGATGTAAATTAAACGATTGTATAATTTATCCAAAATAACTTAAATCATTGACATAAGTCTAGTTTCTCTCTCTATTAAATGTTAAACCAATCCTAGACACGAAAAGCGTCGGATAGAAAAGAGCAGAAGTGAACAGACCAATGAGTAGACGTAACAAATTTGACGTTGCGAATTATTAAATCTTCAAAAACGAAGGACAATACAAGTTGGCAATGATCACTCGAGTGAAAAACAATTTCAAGGTCAATTTTTCAATCCCGCCTTCGTACATCGCGCGTCGCACGAATGCATAACAGCTGCATATTTCGGCCCCGCGATGAGAGAGCGGCGATCGTGCGACGGATTATCTCTTTCATGCCGCAGGAAGATCGACGAGACCGGGAGATTTCAGCTCGACGTTCTTCTCCTACCGAGAGGAACCGGTGCGTTCTTCGTGGCTGAAAATAATAACGCTCGCGCGGGGATCGTATTAGGGTGGGGGTGGGGGGGAGAGGGGTGGCTATCTAATTACAGACATACAAATGAGCACGGCGGGCCATCTCGGGTCCCGAGCCGCGTTCCACTCGCGGCTGGTAGCGGCTGCGATATAGCTTCAGGAGTGGCCTTTCGCCTCGCGTGGTGCCGCCGTCGTGTAGCGTGGTGTACAGTGGGATACAGAGGACGAGGAGGACGGGGGGGGGAAGGAGGAGGGAGGGGGGCACGGTGGTTGCCGAGGGGCCCGGGAGGGGCCCCCTCATCCGACGGAGGTGGCTCGCGCGGCGCGGGGACGCGACAGGGCCCGCTGCCGATCCTGGACCACCCAAGACGAAATTCACTATAGTTTCTTCGCCGCGCTTACGATACTCGTTTCCAGACTCTCTCCCACTCTCCCTCTTGGTTCTCTCTTTCCCCTCACCCTTCGCGCGGCCCTCTCATCGGCGCACTCGTTGTCCCTGTTCCTCTCGCGTTTCTCCGGGCCCGCACTGGCCTGCAGTCGCGAAATTGAATACGTCACAGTATAGTCCCGGGAACTCGATCGATCAGCTTACGCTCGGCCGCGATGATTGTTTAATATAAATGTATTTATGTACCGTACACAGATCGTTTAAAATCTTAGAACGGTGCTCGCACAATCTTCTCGTTTGATAATTTCTTTCGGTTCCTGTCGTTACTTTTTATTTATTCTCGTCGCCTGCATTCTTTGCATTCAGAAACTCCTTCTCTCTTTAATACCCAAATGTATTTCTCACTTTACGGATCTGTTTCACCAACCTCGGTCAAGTTAATCGATTGGGGATCATTTATGCCCATTTCCACCAATGTGGATAAACTTTAATCTCGGTTCAACTTACTCTTCGTCGTTTTCTAATTCTAAAGATTGGAAAAAGATAAACAGTAAGTGAATCGAGATTAAAGTTAATCTACGTTGATGGAAATGGGCATTAGATCCAGTTTCACACCTCATGGTCTTAACCGAGATTTAACTTATTTTAAGTAACAATGAATTGTGAAACTGAGCCTAAATGTAAGCCATCAGGTAGCTTAACCGAGGTCAGTGAAAGAGATCCTTAAAGTGAGAAATATATTTGGGTATTAAAAAGGGAAAGCTTCGGGATGCAAAAAATGCAGGCAACGCAAATAAATAACGACAGGAGTTGAAAGAAATTATTGAGCGAGAAAATTGTGTAAACACTGTTCTAAAATTTTAAACTATACGATATAGAAATACATTTATCGTCGGCTAACTTAACCGAGGTTAGTGAAAGGGATCCTGTGTGAAAAAAATTTGGGAAACTTCACACAATACGAACAGACTTAAAGATAATTTTACGGAATGTTCACACCTCGTTAAGTGAAATTTAGCTATAATGGAAAAAAAAAATGAAACTTTGTGTATAACAAGCAATATTTTTAAACTGTACTTTGATCAAAAATACACTTGGACCTATTCATGTTTCCATTTTACAAATTTACCGAACAAAAAAAGTGGTAAAGCCAACGAGATCTGCGCCGATGATACGATTCGTGCACTGAAAAAAAAGAGTCTGGTTGCATTAATTGAAATTCCGATTGAAGATGCGATTAGAATATTCCGTGGTTGAATCTATTAATTATAATTCTAGTAGAGATAACCAGAATTTTGATTGACACAATCAGAGTCTTCTGGTTCGTTCATTTTTCAAGAAAAATTTTTCTCACAGTCTAGCGCTTGTCGCGGGAATTAATAATCTCGAGCAAGCGCGTCCTTTTCAGAAGGTATAAGTCTTAAGCAGACAACACTTACGAAGGAGAAGATGCACATTAAAGTATGAAACATAGTGCATACACGGGAGACGAGAGTTTGGCAAAAATCCGCGCGTAAGAAGTAATCGTCGAAAGAAAAATCCCTCCCGTGAAAGAGGAAAAGAGCGAAAGAGCCGGTCGCACGAAGCACGGTTGCTAAAAGCCTGACTCGAGTAAGCGAACGAGCTGAAATACGGTTATGGACGAATCGCGTGATTAATACGTACCGGCCAGCCGCGAACACAGTCGCGGACGCGCGCGTCACGCACGCTGGCACGCGCGTGTGTTACCCAACGAAACGAGAATCTTCCTCTCCTACCGGTGGGCAGCAAGAGAGATATTTCATTCCCGCGGTGTCTCCCTTTCGCCTCCCGTTCGCGGACTCCGCTTATCGGGTCGTCGTCTCTCACGAGGGTTGTCGAGCCTTTGGGCTCTCCTCGAAGGAGGAGAGGTGAGGGAAAGGACGAGTGTGCCGCGGCAATCACGCGAGCAGCGAACAGCACCGACTTTATACCGAGTCGGCCCGTCGCGATCTGCAATTCTATGATTAGAATTTATGGCTCGAAGATTCGTCGGGAGCCGAAATCGGTCGGTCACCTCTGCGTGTGCGCCGGCAAAGAAACTGCCAACTGGGATAAATTCGCACAACTCCTTCTATCTATTGTACCGTAAATCGAAATTGGTCGTGGAATGAGAATTTAATCCTCCGGAACTGACGGTGGGTCTGTTGCAGACCCACTCAATTATAAATCTTTTTGTCAAAAATGTCGAATAATGAATCTATTTTCTTTATGTGATTACGAGTATATTCATTCCTTTTTTTTTATATGAGTTATGTCATTTTAATTCTTTGAAATCAATTAGTGCCTTTTAATTAATATAAATTAGATTCACACAGATTTTACACGGAAGCAACAATTTTGCTAAAATATCTAAAATAGTAGATTACAGATCTGAAAATAATCTTGTTGGACCATCAAAATAATTATATGTAGGAAATTCGATGATGCGCGACGTTGCCAAAAACTTTGGTATTCTAGCAATCAGTGAATAATATCGAATTTCGAGTTTCTGTTAAATAGAATAATATACAATTTTATAACTACGACTATAAATTGGAATTAAGTAAAAAAAAAAAGTATATATCGATTAAAAAAATTAATCGCTGTCATGTAAAAAAATCAGCAAAGTTAAGAAACGGAGTTTTTCTCACTCGTTGCAATCATGCCTCCCATTTTTATCCTATTCTCTCTTCCTTTTTGATCCTCATTACAAGTTATAACCTCGATATCAAGACACGCGTCGCTACAAAACGGCGCAGCTTCCCTCTCCAAAGGATATCAATACTCTGACTCGTTCCAGAGCCTCAGGGCTTCTCAGCCTAACAAGGACAAACGGGTGCGGGTAGAGCCATAACTTTATTCGACGATCGTCGAAGACGATGTCGACAACAACGCCAACAACAACAACAACAGCTGCCTTTGTCCTGGGTCGTGAGTCGCCGCGCAGGCTGCCGGTGGTTGGCCGTTTTCATCCACTTGCCCTCTTCGCCGGTTCTTCCATTCCCCTCCTTGTTTCTCTTCCATGGAACAGAGGCGATGGGCAAGAGGCGAAAGGCGCGGGGGAGAGAGAGCGGGTCCGAACGAACGAGAGGAGAGGGAAAGGGACCGACGGATCTAAGGTCCGGCCTCGGCTCGCCCCGTCTCAGGGGCTTAGATCGGGCCCCGGCACATCCAAGGCGCCGCCCATTTTTTTATTCCACCCATCGAAAGAACCTGGGAGACCTCGATTCCAGTTTGCCGTCCCGCGGTCGAGCGACGGCCGTGGAATTCGCGAACTCTCAAACGGGACGCGTCCAGATTCTGTCGTCGAGACGCTCACTCGCAGGAATGTCAGGAAGGTCCGTTGCACGAGATTCTTCATCGTGTCTGAGATCCCAGAAGCAGCGGAATCTAAACGAGGATTCGGGAGGGATGCCGAATGCGTAAAGAGAAGTCAGTTGCGCGAATCCTCCTCCTCTTCATCCATGATAATGGAATCTTCATTGGAACTATATAGAACAATAAAAGAAATCCATTAAGGGTTGCGTGTGATTGTTTAACATAACATATTGATTGGATCATTCTTTACTTTGTGAATTAATAATTTCGAAATTTTTTTCATAATGTTTTCGTTAATATTTCTTATAAATGTAATATAATTGTATACATAATGACTACAATGTAGTATTATAATGTCGAGTTTTACAATATATATGCTATATAGATTGATGTTACATATTTAAAAAAAATTTTTATTATTATCTCGGAAACTTAATAGTAAAAACTAAAAATAAAAATTGAATTAATTGCGTAAAAATTGAATGTTAGCGAATGAAAGCGAAATTCATCATAATGTTTTCGTTAATATTTCTTATAAATGTAATATAATTGTATACATAATGACTACAATGTAGTATTATTGTATAATGTCAAGTTTTACAATATATATGCTATATAGATTGATGTTATAAATTTAAAAAAAATTTTTATTATTATCTCGGAAACTTAATAGTAAAAACTAAAAATAAAAATTGAATTAATTGCGTAAAAATTGAATGTTAAAAAACGAAATTCATCATGTTTTCGTTAATATTTCTTATAAATGTAATATATTATAATTGTATACATAATGACTACAATGTAGTATTATAATGTCGAGTTTTACAATATATATGCTATATAGATTAATGTTACATATTTAAAAAAAATTTTTATTATTATCTCGGAAACTTAATAGTAAAAACTAAAAATAAAAATTGAATTAATTGCGTAAAAATTGAATGTTAAAAAACGAAATTCATCATGTTTTCGTTAATATTTCTTATAAATGTAATATATTATAATTGTATACATAATGACTACAATGTAGTATTATAATGTCGAGTTTTACAATATATATGCTATATAGATTAATGTTACATATTTAAAAAAAATTTTTATTATTATCTCGGAAACTTAATAGTAAAATACTAAAAATAAAAATTGAATTAATTGCGTAAAAATTGAATGTTAGCGAATGAAAGCGAAATTCATCATAATGTTTTCGTTAATATTTCTTATAAATGTAATATAATTGTATACATAATGACTACAATGTAGTATTATTGTATAATGTCAAGTTTTACAATATATATGCTATATAGATTGATGTTACAAATTTAAAAAAAATTTTTATTATTATCTCGGAAACTTAATAGTAAAATACAATACTAAAAATAAAAATTGAATTAGTTGCGTAAAAATTGAATGTTAAAAAACGAAATTATACTTTATAAACTTTTGACTATTAAAACCAAGTTTATAAAAGAAAATTCAATTTTCTATAAATATAACACATCATACTAGCAAATATAATTTGTCACTTACGTTTTGTGTAAAGACAAAGTATAGGCAATTATATATTGTTAGGATCAGTAAAAATCCTACTAGTAAAATAATAAATTTGTTTTCCTTTTTATTTAAATAAATATATTTGTTAACGCAGTAATCTGTATTAAAAATTTCAGAATATCCGGAAAATGATGCGATCTCGACCCTAAGATTGTCTCATCAAGATCGATTAACGTTCTTTTTGTATACCTGGGTAAGCCATTGTGCGTCCTGCTGGCTAGTAATAATCTTTACCTACAGAAACGTGTTTATATACGGCCGCCTATCTGTCTGTATCGGCAGGAGAGATAATTATTTTCCTTTGTGGTTGCCTCATAGAATATACCTACAAGACGCCATGCGGAGAGAGGCTGGGACCAGTATCGTTTTCATGTTCTTGAACTAGAAAGAGCAAAATGGTATGCCGACACAGAAGATGTCTTGCTATTGTTTGAGCAGAAAATCGCAAGTTTCCGACAAACGTTCAATCAAAAACTTATTTTACATTTATTTAAAAATTTTCCTATTACCATTAGAGATAAAATTTTCTATTGTAGTTTGTAAATCGAAGTCTATTTTTTTTATTGCTCCGAACAATAGACATATAATAAAAATTGTATATCTGTGAAATGTATACCTTTGACAACAAATTTTTATCACAATAGAAACACAAACACAACTTCTGTTCATCCTTGCAACGAACAACTGGCATCCCTGTACACACACACACACACACACAAAATCTTAACATTATTAAATTATTTTAAAAAGCTATATTGTATCGAACCCTGCTATTTGTTCATTTTCGTAGAATTTACTGTAAAAAAGTTGACCTGTGCCTTAAAAGTCCAACATTGGAAGATTAATTTGATGTACATGTATTCTTTTATGTTTTTTGATATTTCTTTTTCTACTTGAATAAATTTAAAATATTAAATTATATTTTATATTCACTGCTCGTTTTCACTGATGATGAGACGACGTAATTCCGTCGATTCTTCTGACACAGTTCAATAACGACGTGGCATTTGCTGAGTTGGGTGGGCTGAGTATCGGTAATTCAACAATGATTTACGCGATAACATGCTCCTTTATTACCGGCGACCGCCTCGCATATTTATTGCCGGTAAAGTTTTCGGGTAATGGTAGCATTAGAAAGCCGTGGCGTAGTCGCTAAATGTCGCTTAGGTATTCGCCGATGCTTATGGCCTTATGGTAAATATACGGGACCCGAGATCTCTCTCTCTCTCTCTCTCTCTCTCTCTCTCTCTCTCTCTCTCTCTACGAGGGGGCGACGAGTCCATAAAATAGAGAGAGAGGAAGAGAGAGAGAGAGAGAGAGAGGAAGAGAGAGAGAGAGAGAGAGAGAGAGGCAGAATACGAGAAACGGGGAAGGGCGGCAAACGGTATGGTGGGTCAGAGAGGAGTCAGAGGGGAGGACAGAAAAGGGAGGAGATAGGGACAGGAACACGGGTGCACATCTGCCGTTCGCCATAAGGTGATACCAGAAAACGCTCTCGGCTCTCCCTTGTCTCGATGGCGGCCCGTAGATCGATCCTGCCCCATAACGAAACGAAAACGCCTTCCGTGGTATATGGTGCGCCGCAATTCGTGCCAAGAAATGGCCACTGACATATAAGGATTTTATCCCCGTGAAATACGTCGACGTCGATACTTGGTGTATTCCTCGGTGAAGTGACTCGTAAATGAATTTCCTTTCGGCGAGCCCCACTTGGCGCGTCAACACGTCCATATCGCCGAAGGCGCAGAAAAAAATATTCTTAACGCACTTTTTCTCGTTCTTAGTATGAATCGAAAGTTTATGGAAAGGATAGCGGAATGATTATTTCAAATATTCCGCCGTGTAAACAATGTGTAAAACTTTCCATCTCACATATGTGGAATAAGGATAAGTCTATAGTTCATGGGGGATGATTTCTTGCACAAAAATCAATGAAAAGTGCAAAATAAACTTCTTCCATCCGAAGCTTTGTTTCCGAGAGAATCAAGTTTGAAAATCGTTATCATATTTACATAACATGACTTCACATTCCTATCACGATTGACAGAATGAAATAAAACGCGACAAATAGTGAAATTTCATTTATTCCCAACAATTGCACAATAAAGTCAAGTCTCAAACAAAGAAAAGTTAATTCTGCATTTTCGACTTATTGTTATACAAGAAATCAATCAGATGTATCGCGAGTTTGTTCCCACCCTTTAATTCTCACCTATACATATTTTGCAAAAATGCGTCCTCGTCATCGCGATTTGTAAACGCGAAGCTGATATTTCCTCACCGGTGATCGTGAGATTTGAAATTCTGCGCCACTCTCCCGTCTCGTAAACAAACCGTTGAACGACTAACCAGGCAATTAGGGAAACAACCTATTGGTGGTATACGTGCGCGGAAATTCGAATTCGTCCCGATATTTCGCAGGTGAATAAATTACCTGTCATATACATTCTCAGACACGACACATCGCACATTTGCAGCCGCAGATTGTGCGCGAGAAGCCGCGAGCTGTAAATTGCAAAGTGTGTATTCGCTTATGTATGTACGTACGGAATGTCCCAGAAATCGGTGTTATCTCGAGTTGCAAATATCAGCCGCGTGAGAAATAATTGTGCGAAAAATGCAAATCTGCACGTTTCAGACATAATTATCTATTAAATCGTAAAATGATAATTTTAATAAGTAAATCGGGAAGTTCGAAAGATGCGAATAGTCTTCACAATGAACTGGAATTTTTTCCAACAAGCAAATCTTTAATCTCCGAATCAACTATCAACGGTCATGAAAAATGAAAAACGGCATTTCGCTGAGTCTTCCTTGTTGAAGAAAATTCAATCCAACGTTTATTTCGCAATTTATTAAGGACAAGTGAATGACTTTTTTTAGACACGCTGTGTATTTGTGTACGCGTGTGTATACATAGGTTACACACCCGTCATCAGGATTATGCAACCCGGAGTGTCAGCGGGTTCGTCGAGGTTCGTTAACTCTCAATTTTGCGGCAGGCCGCACGAGTCGACCTGATCGTTTCGTTCGACTTCGCTCGTCGTTACGTACGTACGGGCGGCAATATTTGCAAGCGTCTTGGCCTCGAAAAAAAAATCTACTCTGCACAGACGCGCCGTTAATGCCCCAGCGATGAATTACAGCCGCGGTTATTCCAACGATATTCACTGAACGGAAATTGATGTCGAGTTTATCGTTTGTACAATTATATATAATCCTGTTATTAACGAGAATCAGACCAGAAAACTAAAAGTATGAAAAATACGTGAATCCTAATAAAATCTACACTCTGATTTTCCCCACGATTTTCAAACAATTAAACTTTTCAGCGCTTATAACGTACATTACGTGACATATATTTATTTATAGAAAATATTATTCTAAAATTATATATATATATATATCTTTTTCTACTAACAAACATACTTAAATCAATTACATGATTAACCTTAATAATTTTAATTTATTTTATATAAATAGGTAATCGTATTTATTAATATGTATATAAATAATTATAGATGTATTACAGATAAGATAATAAATGTTATGAGAGAGAACAAGAAATAAAAAGATAACATGTTATTAAAATATAATTACTTTTTTAAAAATGGCATAA